CTCCCCAGAGCCTTCTCTTCTCCAGGCTGAACAAGCCCAATTCTCTCAGCCTGTCCCCATAGCAGAGGGGCTCCAGCCCTTGGAGCATCTTCGTGGCCCTCCTCAGTCATTATTGTGGAGACACTTGCTTTTACAAATGATGCTCAAAAACATAGCAGGTGCTAGCAGCCTCTGTCTTTGTCAGTTTGAGTAAAAATGAATGCCCTTAGCACGCTAATTCATGCTGGAATTCCTCACAGAGTTGTTAATTAAACCTCAACAATGAGGTGCAGTTACCTACGCGAGCATCTTCGTGGCCCTCCTCAGTCATTATTGTGGAGACACTTGCTTTTACAAATGATGCTCAAAAACATAGCAGGTGCTAGCAGCCTCTGTCTTTGTCAGTTTGAGTAAAAATGAATGCCCTTAGCACGCTAATTCATGCTGGAATTCCTCACAGAGTTGTTAATTAAACCTCAACAATGAGGTGCAGTTACCTACGCTTCCAGATCTACTCTTCTTTTTTTAAAACTCTTCCCAGAAGTCTCCCTCCCACAAAAAAAAAAGGGAGAGTGATGGTTCAGGTAATGCTGTGGTCCCTGGGGGTCTCATAGGGCTGTGCCTACCAGGGCATTGCAGTAACTTGTTACAAACTATGACGTAACTGGTTAAATTAATATCAAATGGTCAGGCAGTGGTACTGGACACTTGATTTTCTTGTATAATTTTCTTTACACTCCCCTAAGGTCATAGGGTTGACCCAGCCACTGATGACAGTGTATGTTTTTCTGAAGTAAGGCACAGATAGCCATTGCAGCTGAAGAACTCATCAAGATACAGAAAATAATTTGCGTGTGTGTGCATGGTTATTTGCCTTGAACAGCTAGCGATAAACATGATCTCATTTTACAGATTCTAAAGATCAAATACTGGACTTTGTGCTTCCATTTGGAGCAGCGAAACTGCAGCCATAATTAGGCAGCAATTCTTCCCTGAATATCTAGCAAAATGTGGGGGTGGACTTGCCGTTTGTGTGGGTAGATGCATCTCTGGAGGAGTTTCGCATAAAGGCAGGCAGGGCTGAGGTTCCCTGAGGAGTAGAAGAGGACAGCAGCCTGGCACCACTGTTGTACAGTCCTCAGCATGGTGTCATGTTATTCAGGTCACTTGGCATCCCAGTGAGATCAGACTGGCTGGGGAGAAGAGGCCGTCGGTGAGGGCATGAGAGACGCTCATGCTGAGGCACTGTTTACCCAAACACACACTGGTGCACGTAGTGCTGGTGAGGCTGTGGTACTTTCAAAAATGCACTGGTGTTGCAAAGGGCATCACCTCATTTGCTGTCTGGTACAACTGTCTAGTAATTCTTGTATCATAATATAATGGCATCATTTCTGGAGGTGTGATGAGGATTCCACATATAAGATTGCCCAATTCCCTCCCGAAGGACAATCTGCTGAGCTCTCAGCTTTCAGAGAAATGACTGTGTGGCATATCCCTGCTGCTGATCAGAGTGGCCACCCAGACCTTGGACCGGTGCCTTTTTAAGCACCGTCATAGACATCCACAGTGGGAGGCAAATGGTGAGGGAGAAACGGGACCCTCGAGTTGTGACTTCTCCCCATGGCTGCAGTGGCATATGACAGCAACTAGAGCTTCTGCCGTACCTTCAGGGGTGGTTTTGGCACCTGTTTGTGGTAACACAGCCTGATGGCATGAAGTGCAGCGTGTGTGGATGGCCTGTGAGGGTGAGTGCAGCTGCAGATGAGGCGCAGCAGGCTATGACTACTACCTGAGAATCCCAACGAAATGCTGAGTCCCGGAGGACCTGTGATCACATGCTGTCTGGCAAAAGAATCCCTAATTCTTGTAAATGTGTAGTGTCTACTTCAGGTCATGTGCTGCGTAACTGGAAGAGTCATACATGCTTTCTTAGCCTGTGTCTGTTTTCCTTTAATCCAGTTCCACATCTCAGAGAAACAGTTGAGGCTGTAGGAGCTGGATTTTAGGGGTGAGGGTCAGGTCATGGGTATCCCAACTCAGTATCTCTCATCTTCAGCTCATTCATCCTTACAGTCTCATCAAGGCCATCCATCACTGCAGTCTCAACCAGGGTAGGTGAGATCCTGAAAGCAACTTCAGTGAATGGACAAATACTCAGCGCTGTACAATAGCAAGAGACGTAGTGAAGAAATACCTGTTGTGTTAATTCCCAAAAGCAGGGCATTGGTCTGGCACGGTAACCTGCAAAAATGCTCCACGAGAGCCTGTGGAAGAGGAGAACAAACCTACTGGTCTGAATGTGCTGGTGCTGAGCAAACCTGAGTGCTAGCCAGATGGAAGCATGACTCTGGGCGGGGGCTGTCCGCTGGAAACACTGAAACTGCAGATACTTGTGTGAGAGCTTGCGAGTTCTGTTAGAGAGAAAAGGCCCTGCCGTGAACTCTGGGGATGTCGCTGGACCCTGGCAATGCAGCTACTCAACTAAATGCTCCCGAAAGCCCAACCCACAGAAACTAGTGGCAGACGTGGAGATGGCTCAGATAAAACACGAGTGCCGTGAAGATTAAGCAGTCCTAGATCAGGAAGAACAAAAGTGTTATCTTTATGGGTGCTGACGTCTGTCAATAAAACTGTCTTAATAATAAGTCCCAATGGCTCCTGGTACCGCATCTGGCAAAACTCAGGTTTTGATAAGCAGCACGGAGAAGTGTGCCCTGCAGGATTCCTGGATTCATTTAGTCCTGCCACGTGTGCGGAAGTGTCCTTCCACAAGAAAGGGGATCTGAGCTCAGGCGCTTCCCCGCCTGCGAAACTGTCTGCAGTGAGCAAACACCACACGGATCAGGTTGGTTGGAATCGTGTCGCGCGGTCTGAAGACAAACAAGGTTGAATAACTTCTGCGTAGTTACGTAAGAGGATGGTGTTGGCTACACACAACAGATGAAGTCAGGTTACGTATCAAGGAATATTGACCCAAAGGACCATAATCATCCTGTGAAGCACCAGCCAGAAACTCATGTCTGCTTCACGCCTCCAGCGTCTCCCAGACCCTCCCTGCAGGGCTGCTGGGGTCAGGCGGAGCGAGAGTGCGCAGCGTACAGGGGTGCAGAGCCTGCTTTGCCGTTAAGAGGGGGTTTTTCCTTGGAAAGCTGAGCTTCCGTGGGTATGAAGGCTGGGTTTTCCCTGATTTTCCTGTATTGTTTTTTCAGAGGTGGCCTTGGTAGCAAGCAGGTACTTGAACCCTGACCTTTTTTTGGTGTTTCGTACATACGGACGAATCTAGGCATGTGTGTTACGATAGCTGTTATGGACCGCTTGGTTTGAGATGCTTGAAGTTCAGTCCCAGTATTGTCTGCCCTGGTTGTAGCAGAGCAACTTGAGAAATCGTGGCCCTTTTGTATCTTGCTGGGGAATCTCAGTAAGGTTAGAAACTTTCTTGGCAAGTGTGCGTGGAGCTGACTTGAATCATCAGAAAGTGTTTTAGAAACCTTCCTGCAAACCTTTCTCTACCCTTTCAAAACAAAGGCCCTACTGACATAAGCCCACTGATAAATATAGCAGCTATTATTTGTGAGCTATTGTAAAATAATACAACGTTAGTGTGACATCATGAGACTCCGCAGCCAGATCCTCACCCCCTAATACACATATGAGAACAGTTGTTCGTTGCAGATGGGGAGAGTGACCGGTTCCAGATATGATATCACAGCGTGAAATGTACAACATTGTAAATAGGATTTTCAGGGGCACAGATAGTAGGGCCCATCTGCTTTCTAAGATAAATTTTGGGACTTCCTTGCTTAAAGGAAAGAGCTGAAGTATTTTAATGCTCCTTGACGTAAGAATTCTAATGCTGATCATAATTAGGTAGTGCATATAAAATGTAGAGAAGCCCGCTGCACTGTAAACATGGTAACGCTCTGCTCCTCTGTGGGTTTGGGCATCCGTGTGCGCGAAGCCATGCTGGCGCCTCCTGGGCCCGTGGACACAAAACCTGATTTTTCACGCTGTCAATCAGTCAGGGCACTTGCACCGGACTGACAGCTGTCCCGGACTGTTCGAGGGGAATCTGCAGGGTAATGCAGGATATCCTCTCATCTGCTCTGTGCTGGGAGGTTGGTGCTGGTATGGGAATTGCATCGTCAAGCAGAGCAACCATCCCTTTTTTTCACTTTTTCCTTTCTTTTTGTAGCAGCTTCCTTTACTCACAACATATTGGTTTTGATAGCCGATTCTGGGAAATAAGGGGAGAAAAAAGACCATTGAGAGTTTTCCATCAGTGGGTACCCGTGCTGATAGAGGCTGATGACAGCAAGTTAGCTCTCACTTTGCCTGAGCCTAAAGTATCCCCAGGGCTGCTCCCGGTGGATCGTCTTTGTTCTCATGCCGTTGTCCTGGCTCATTAACACAAATTACGTAAGGCACAAAATAAGACATCACAGCAAAGTATTCAAACAATGCCTAAAGAATATAGAATATATGGGGCTGGTATTTCCAAACTTAAGCAAATAAAAACAATGGAAAACCTTCATAAATCTGCAAATTCTTCAAGGCAGCAAAACTCTCGCATGTAATCAGCTTTATTTTCCTATTGCCTGAGTGTTTCCCAGAATACATAAAAATTATATGCCGCAGTAAATTTTTAAGGAAGCAATTCCTGTGAGAGGTTCCTATGATTGCTTAACACAGAAGCGCAAACAGATGGAATCTGTTCATGTAACAAATTGGCCAACGTTATTTCAAATACACAAGTGGAGAAAGTTTTAAAGTTTCAGCCCAAAGCAGAAGCCTGTCTGAAGGCAGATACCAAGTTGTATTTCCATAAGAATCAAATGCTGTCAGCTCTGACTGCAGTCACCTGAATCACAATTCCCAGGACCCTCTTGGGATGGGAACGGTGCTGCGGCGGCGTAGCCTGGAAGTCCTTGGTTGTCTCTCCCTTTCTCTTGGAGGGACCTGAGCTCAAGCAGCAAAACTGGTCGGTTGACTTTGGAGGGGCGATACGAATTTGTTGCAGGTGACTTGAGCTTTGAGTTGGCAGATAGAGAGCAGAACTAGATAGGCCATGAGGTTTCAAATGTATTTAAGATAGTTTGACTTCAAACGTGTTTAAACAGAATATAATCCTGTAGACTTTAAATGTTTGTTTTTGGAATATCCTTTTGATTCCTCTTTGGAAATGTTCTGTATCACAGAGTTGCTGCTGCTGTCTGTGTGCAGGACCAGCCTAAGCAGCCGGAGCCCCACAGGGCTGATGCCTGCTGCCATGCAAGCTCAGCAGCTCAGCTTTTCCTCCTGCCTCCAGTCCTCCAAAATAAGCAAAACCAACCTTCTGCTTTTCCAAAACAGAGCAAAACAAATTGTTTCTATTGTCTGTCTGCTAACGAAGGTGGTGGATGCTCAGCAGAAAATGTGTGAAGGGAACAGGAGGGCTTGGATCCTCAGTTCACCCGGTAGCAGCAACAACTGATGATTCAACACCTCTTGATGACAGACTGCAGTAGATCAGCTTACGCCTATCGTGAAACTGCCTTTTGGCTTGAAATTCCTTGGATGCTAGGTTGTCAAGACTTGAAATGTATAATGGAAATTTAGATGTATCTCTCATGTTTCACAGTAGATATATTACCCACAGCTCTCTAATTTGACTGATGTTATATAAAATTAATAAGATTCAGGCATAATCTTTCTCCTTCTCTTTTTTTTTTAAGGGACCCTTGAGAATAAATCCTAAGAAGTACCATGAAGCCTTCATTCCATCCCCAGTAAGTGTAATTTTATAATGCTTTAAAGTTCATAAGTAAAGGTGCACTAAGATAGGAGTTATGCTGTGCACGAAAGGTCACTCAGAGGTGAATGAGTTGGAATAAATGAACATGATCTGGATTTTCTTTTAAATCAAATATTCCCAAACAAATCATGCTTTTTCATACCTCAGAGAACTACTTACTTAGGTTGTGGTGAAACTGGGGATACTGCCGGGTCTCACAGAAGCCAGCTGAAGTCAGGTTTGAGGACCACCAGATAGTGTAATCAGAAACCCTTGGTTTATCGCTGCAGAGGTTTTATAGATTTTCCACTGATTTAAGTTAATCTTCCCTAAACAAATATGCTCTCCGTTTTCGATCCACTGCATGAGCTAATTTGAAAGGTCATTCCAGAAATAATACGCGTGATTCCTTTTCATGTGCCCGCTTTTGCGCAAACCGTATCTTGGTTGGCTTGGGATGTGCTTCTGTCACATGGGACTGGCTCACGCCTCTTCTTTCCTTATTTTGACAGAAGAGGAGGGCTCTTGCAATTTCAGGGACTTCCAGTAGGGAAGGTGACCTCACCGCTGGCACAGCCAAGGCGTTTTATCTGGAATTGACTTGGCCAAAGTGTTCCCGTGAAGAGTTTCATATTGAAACATTTTGTTGATGTGTAGGAGAGAAGGCAGAGCCTGCTCTGAGACCGAGAAACACTGACTCTGTTGTTGTCCCTGCTGCTGACAGCGCTATTGTTTTAGGCTTGGATCGAAAGCCTTGAAATTCGTGGCGTTGACAGTTCCGGTTGTTGATTTGAGATCATGTTTTGGAGCCCCCTTTGTCAGAGAAGACTGGCATTGCAGGTGTGGAGGTTGGGTAGATGAAGGTTAACTAGAGGAAGAATGTAAGTGGGAAAGGAACTGTGGTCCTTCCTTTACAGGTGTCCTTGTAGGTGTGGTAAGTGTAAGCTGTTAAACATATTATTTGAAATTACAAAATGCACAGTTAAAGATGAAGTCCAGGTACTCACATGAGTTTAATTGGATGTGAAGCTTTACCCCTGATCGCCCTTGGTGTCCAGCTGTGCCTTGTGCATTCGATTACTCGCTGTTCTGCGTGCAGGAATATGTACATGGAGGAGGCTTAGCTGAGGTGGTTCCCTCAGCTATCTTTCTACTTTTCTTCCCTTTGTGGAGCTGAATACCAGCACCAGCCTTTTCTCTAATAACAACCAGAACCAACACCTGGATGGAGGTGACTTTGTTTGATGTGGGCCCAGTCCTTTAAGACAGATAAGCTTTAGGAAGCTTATCTTAACCTTATTTGCTATTATGGGGGGTTTGCAGCCTTTGTGTTCTGTAGGACTTCCCATCATTGCCAAATGCTGCAAGGGCTGCAGCTGTGGAAAATCACCCTTTCTCTCCTGCTGTTGACTGTACCCCTTTCTCTTCGGCTCTGACTTTGCTACAGCTTCTCGGAGCTCAAATGCAACAGCTGTTCACCTTCTGACACCAGAAGTGCCAGGGTGCTTTTTGCTGCAAATGTGCTCTCTGCTTGTGTCACTGGTGCACAAAGAACTGAGAGGAAGGCCCACGGCCTTTTTTCTTAAAAGCCTCCCAGAGGGTAGACCCAAGCATTTAAATCTCTGCCTCGCATCTCATGTCTTTCCTGCACACTGTAGCGTGGTTTTGGAATGGCAGCATTGTCATTGTGAAGAATGATACTGCTGAGCACGAGTGATGGAGTGACTGTGGCTGCGCTGTGCTTGTGGGAGAGGCTTCCAGAGCAGATGAAAGCACTGCAGATCTCTCCTGTCATGGGGGGATAGAGAGCACTGCTGGTGGTATTCCCAGGTGGCCACAGAGCGGTAAAAGCTGGAGGGGGTGCAGAAGTCTTGAAGCCATTGTGGCTGATCCAGTATGTGCACCCTGGGGGCAGCTGGGATTTTGCAAGTGATTGTGTTCTGTTGTGATTCAGTGCCATTTTAATTGCATTAGTAATCTGAAGTGCCAGCTGTGCAGAGTAGGGGATGCTGGAGGAAAAAGTGGGATGCACAAGTGTACTTGGAAGCGCGTAAGTTTGCCCAACAATCATGAGCCTGGAGCTGAAGTTATAGAAACGTTTCTTTTTGGAGGAAAACCCCACACTGATGGCAGTTTCCTAATTACAGCTTTGTGGCAGGCATTGAAATTAACTGCTGTAAAGTAGGTGTGCATACACATATGTAAGTGTGTGTGGGTGTGTGTGTATATATATATACATAAAGGGGTATATTGTTTGGGATGAGTGACAGGCTGCAATTCAAGACTTTTGCAGAATATGGAGATGGAGCTTTAGGTGGTGTGACACATCAGGAACCTTTACAGGGAGTGGGGGATAGGGTCACCTTGTGTTTTCTTGGACACAGGAGAGAAGGAAAAAATGTGTAGAACAACTTAGGTGAGTGCCAGCCTGTGTCCTGCACTGCAGAGCAGCTACAGACAAAAAAAAAAAAAAGAGGGGAAAAAAAAAGGCAGGCATTTTCCTTAAAAAGTGGCTTTGAACTTTCTATTTTGTGTATGTGGTAGATTTAGGTAGAGAGCTGGGGCAGAAGGGAGAGAGTGGGGAGAAATGAGCAGTAAGACCATGTGTAAAAAATCTGGCTTTTTGAAAAGAACGGTTTCCAATTTGAATTATGTTGGTCCAAGAGGCTTTGCAATTTTTCTGCATCTTGTCATGGGAGGCAGCTTTCACACAGCTGTTGAGCTGCTGCTGCTTTTCTTTCTAAGAGTAATTTGGTATCTTGGAGGATGGCCTTAGTTTCACATCATGGCAGGGTTCTGCCGTTTTATTGTTTTGGTATCTAAGCAGGGTAAGGTATTTATATGATATTAGGGCTTCATGTTTTCAGGTTATAAAAGAAGTTTTTCTTGGAGACTGAGCACACTTGGTAGTTCTGCTTGGATTTACTCAAGCATATGAGACTCAGGACTGTGTATCTGAGGAGGTACTAAAGTTGTGATTAAGGTTTTAATTCTTGTGAGGCTGTGTTTTTTTTTATATTGAAAGGCAATGAAGTACTAATCTAAAGAAAATCTTCCTCGTTTTTTATACCTCAGAACTATGCAAAGACAGCTCGCTGTAGAAAAACTATGTTGCCTACTCATGATGATGTTAAATGTCATATTGTTTGACATGTTCATGGCACTCTAAACAGACACATGGAGTTTTTCATATACGGAATTATGGGGAAACAGAAATGAAAGCAGCAAGAGCACTGTCAATAATTAGCCAAAAATAAAAAGATAAAACTGACAGTCTTTTAAAAAATAAAACCTTCCTGCTGGCATCTTCAGGAAACTTCATCTTTATTCACCTCATGGAGAAAATATTCCAAACTAAATCTAGATTAGTGGAATGCCAGACATGTCTGGGGTGGATAATCATCGTGCATACGACGAGCAGAGGCTCTTGTGCAAGGATGTTAACCCAGAGTATTGAGAGAAGGTGTCTTAACATGCCTGTTACAGTAAAGGATCTTCTGGCTCGTAGCTGGCATCTGCAGTCACACTTTTTTGGAATCTCTTCTAGCATTAGTTGTACTAAATGCAGAATATATGGTGTTAAGTCATTTCAAAAAACCCAGGCTGCATCCCCAGCCGCTCTCCAGGCCACCTTCACAGGCTGACCTGCCGATCCCGGGGCTGCGTGTCCCTGCTTCCACCCCTCACCAGGAAGGCACCTCTGCACCATGCGCTTTGCAGACGCTGTCTTGTAAACATGTTCTCAACAACAGCTTGGAGTGCTTGAGTCGGGAACTTGGTGTGTGAAGAGCGTGGCTGCAGAAAACTCTCTCCCGAACCCCTAGAGCAACTGTGGAGGAACTGAGCAGAGCTTGCAGACAATACATCTTGAGGGCTTTTGGCTCCGTCTTGAATAAATAGTGTGGAACTACCGTGCTGGCACATACATAAAGGAGCTTATTTGCTGAAAGATATTGCATGTTGAAGGGCAATATGGTGAATCCATTTCATTTCTGTGTACAACTGCAGGATGTTTGTCTCACCAGGGTGTGTGTCTTTTTTGATGACAGTGTTTTAAACCTCATAACAGCTGTAATTTAATACGTTTTGGTCTGGTATTTATTTTTCTTCCTCTTTGTCTAGGATGGGACTCGCGATATCTTTATTGATGGAGTGGTTGCTCGCAACAGAGCCCTGAATGGTGACATCGTGGTAGTGAAACTGCTTCCCAAGGAGCAATGGAAGGTCAGTTCAGTGTATTTTTCTGTGATTTGGCCGAAAGAGCTTCTTACTGTTTTCTTTACTAAACTTGGGGCCTGAGACAGAGAATAGAGAATTTCCTGTAAATCAGATGAGCTAAATTGTGGTTTATGCTGCTGTAGATTAAAATACTTTATCCATCGTTTGGAAGAAGTGATACCTAAAGTGTTGAAACCTCACTCTTTGCATGAAATGGCCTTTTATCTCCATGTGGAGAAGTCTGACAACAAGGCAGGTTCAGAGCATGGCTGTCAGAGGTGACTTTTGATATCTGTTATTAAGCTGTCTACATGCTGTGGCATTGGATAGCTCTGTGTAGGTGTTTGCAATTGCTCATTTATCTGACAAGTGCTGTTCACAAAGCTTTAGTAATGATTAACTGTCTCTAATTTGTGGGTCTTCAGTCCATGCAAAGCTTATCTTGTCACAGCTCCAGATTTTGTGGTAATACTCTTCCTTACATGAACGAAGAACGTGTGAAGTAACTGGAGCAATGCAAATGTGGGACAATCCGTTTTGGTTTTGCGTTTCCATATCTGAGAATTTCACTAAGATCACTCTCTCTGTTTTTTTTTTTTTTAGTTTCTTTCACTGATAAAGCTCAAAGTCCTTTCAAACATCTGGATAATTTTATCTTGTTTGTGGGTTTATCTTTTAACACCTCTGTGCGAGCAACGTTCTTACTGCTTTGGTTGCTGGGAGATGTGAGCTGCCATTAGCAATTGTAACACAGGTTTTACACACAGACACAGCAGACTGTCACAAATTCATTTTCCAAACATATTTAAAGACTATTGTATATCTCTGGGATAAAAGTAATGATGAGGGTGATTCCAGTAGGGTGGGGACTGGTCTGAACTACCTTGGCCTGGTGCATTTTACTCATTCTGGCTGCCTTCTCTGTCTTTGAAGCTACGTGATTTTAGTCTTGCAAATGCAAGGTCTTCAGTCCGGTCATTCACTGAACCTTCTACATTCCCTGTTTAAATCTAATTGTAATTGAAATGATGGTTTGAAACATGTTAGAACTTGTCTCTTCCTTTGGAATATCCAGAAAATGAGTAAACGACCTAAGTATTTGTTGACTTGTGTAAGTGTGAAACTACCTTATGCAAAAGGCAGTCATAAGTGGGATCTAAGATATTGCAGGTGTATCCATATACATATATAGGAAAGAGGTCTGCTGCAATCTTTGTAACCTCTTGAAAACCAGTTTTGAGGGTCAAAGCAAAATTTCTTTGATAGCTATTCAAGAGTCCAAACCAGAGTTCACTAAAGCCGTGATGATTACCGTGTGTTTGGATCATCAAATCCATACACATAAATTATCTTTTGTGTTAGACCGTTTCGTACAGTTGGAAAAAATTGAATAGTTTGGGCGCTTAGATCCTTTGCCAGGACCTGCCAGCACAAGGGCCTCTTTGTAGGCTTGGTAGAGGTTGACTGAGCTGGAAGCTTTGTCTGCAGTTTCCCATTTATGTCTGGCTCTAAACAAAGATAACGCCTGCCTCTTATCCTCATGCCTTCGTATGTTTAACAGTAATGTTCTTTTATGACTGGGAGAGGAAGGGTTCAGAATATTCTCCCTGTCCCGGGCAGAATAAATAGAACTGGTGAAGTGGTGTCTGACAAGGGGGCAATTCAGAAGACTTTGGCGTTTTGTAGTATGATTCCGATTCTTCTGTGGTGAATTTAACCTTGCCAAATGAAGTAGCTGGAACATGCCAGGCATGTTTTTCAGCCATACAGGTGCTGCCCTGTGTAGTCTCATTTTTTGTTTCTTGCCATCAGCAACTTAATTAGCGATGACATCCCTTTTCCCCTGCTCCCTGAACCTCTTGCTATGCGCTTGTGTTTGTATTAGTTCTTTGGGAAAGGTGCCACTAAGTTTCACTGAAAGATACTGCAATCTGCCAAGTAATTCATACTGATTAATGATAAACTGTCGTAACCTATTTTAGGTTTTTCCATTTGTTTAGTCTCATGCTGCTGCAAAGCTGCCACATGGGTGTCTTGAGGGTTTTCTCCTTCCCGTTGGGCCTTGGGAACAAGCTGAATGGCTTCAATTATTTCCTTGAAAAATGTAAATGTGATGTATGGTGTAACTGATGCTCTCGGAGGAGGCTTTACAGGCTCTGTACATATTGGTTTGTTAGGGTTGAGATGTGCGTGCTGATTGTTTTATGGTTCCCTATTCCCAACCCATTAGTCTGTGCTGCACTGGGGACGGAGCTGGGTTTTTTGCTGGCACACCAGTGCCTTGCTCAAGATCGGGTTGCTGTTAGAGCAGCCTGTGCCGTTTGAGTTTCCAGCACCCTGGATGGCCTCGGGATGCTCTGGGGGAAGATCTTCCCATTGCTGTGCAGGTGATTCCTGCCACGAACCTCTGCGAAGTCAGTGCAGTGCTGCATCACAGTAATCATAGGACTTGACTTAGCTGGAACCTCGGTAAATGGGAGGGAAGGGGAAAACCTGCGACTGGTAAAATTACTGATTTTTGGGTAGGGAAATCTGTCTGTTGGCTTGAAGAGTTGTGAAGGTTAGGAGCTGCCCTGTACCCACTGAGTCTGTCGTTGTGGGTCAAGTGCCTGTGAGAGAAAAACACTGTCTGGGGAGCTGTTTCTCCAGGGATACACTGCGTTCTGCGCAGCCTGTAATGGCGATACCTTACATGCAGGTATGCACACCATAGCGAAACGTAAGGGAATGTTGAAATACTCTAGACGTGTGGTTATGCTTTATGCAATGCCGTCTTGAGAGGGACAGGAATATTTTGATCCTCCATCCCTCCACTTCCTGGCTCAGTGGTGGGAAATTTATCAGGCTTGAATTACTCAACATTGTGTCCTTCCCAGCGTGTGCATCAAGTGCTTGGATGGTCCCCCCTGTCCTTATTCTGTCTGGTCTCACAGCTCTGTTTGTTCGTGCATCCTCTGGGAGAGCTGCTTGCTCAGCGACCGTCAGTTTGTCAGTTCGCATTTCTGCGTTTGCTATTAGTTCTGATCAAGAGCCAACGATTCCAGCATGGCACCACCAGCTTGAGGGAGGGGACAGTTTGTCCCAGAAATCTGTTATCTTGCGCTCCAGAGGAAGGTGGCCGTCAGCTTCCTGCCGGGGTTGAGTGGCGTGCGTTGTGGTGACCACATTTGGAGGCTGTATTTCAGAAGTTCCTCTTGTGTCCTCTTGTGTTACATCTTGGGAATATTGAGGTGCTATGGTAACTTTCAAATATTTAGCTTTTGCAAAGTAAGGTATTTGACTTAGACTGTTTTTCCAGGTACTTAACCTACTCTTAGCGAATGAAGTCAGAGTACCGTTGCAGGCGGCTAGACTGTCCCCTTCTTACTTCAAGCTGTAGGGCTTCCCTGAATCCGTGCCTTTACCTTCTGGAAGAACATCATGATAAAAGATAGCCAGTGACAGAGGATTTACCTCAGTCCTTGTCAATTATTCTGATAAAGAAGAAAAATGATGCTTTATTTCTTGACTGATTTTCAGTACTTTAACTTCCACCCATGGGTTCTTAGTATATTTTATGGAGTTGTGCTTACATCAATTTTGGGAGCTTCAATTATACAGTGGCATAATTACTGGAAGGCAAAAATACGTTGATATGATGATTACAGCAGTATTTTTCAGGCTCATCAAGGAAGGAAGCAGCATGTCAGTATAAAGGATAAACCTAACCCATCTTTCCTCACAGCCTCTTTTTGCTCTTTTACTGCCTGCTTAATTGCCAGACAGAATTTGTTTAATTTCAGCTATCTTCTTCGTTTTTTCTTGCAAGATGTAATTTCTTTGGTGGAAGGAAATAGCATAATAAGTCATTTGATAGCACTTGGGGCTTGGATTCCTGGCCCAATCTCTGGTGCTTTTAGAGTAGTAGTTTATAACGTGGAATGTTTTTCATGACAACCGTCTCACGCATTGCATGCTATGGCTGAAATTTTAGAGCCTTAGTCTGAAAATAGTACCCAGACGAGGACTTTTTGCTGCTCAAAACTGCCTGAAAGGAATTTTGGGGTCCAACCCCTTGTTGCTTGCTACAGTATGCTGTAGAGCTCTCCAGTTCTGCACGTGCTTGCGGCAGTGGTATATTAGAACAATAACAACATATACTATATATGTACCCAAAATACTGGCAGGTTAACCTGCCAGTTTCTCAGAAATCAGTGCCTGTGAGTGGGTTGTTTTTGTTGTTGTTGTTGTTTCATGAATCATTTCCTCCTCAGCTTAAAGTGCTCCTTTGCGCTGTTTTCAGCTGGTTCTTTTGATCTTGTCAGAAGGTCTCCAAAGCCGAGGGTGCAGAACTGTCCATTTACGTACAGTGCGTTGCTGCATAATGGGATAATGGGTCCAGCATTTCATCCATGAAGTCCAAAAGTGATAGAAATAGTAATTCCTTATAGCACATGAAAGCTCGTGTTCAGTTCAGCACTGAGGTGTCAGATGCAGTGCAGTGCAGCAGGAGATCTTAGAGCTGCCTATTCTAGAGCCATACGTATGAGATAAATATTTAAACACTTTCTATACAGAAGACACCAACTATAATTCACTTTTCCCAGCTGTGACTGTTGTTGGCATCATTGTGAGCAATCACAGAGAAGGAACAGCTTGATTCAAGCAGACATCACAGATGTCACCATGTATAGCTTGAACAGAGCTACGTATCCTGGCAAGTCACCGCCTCCAGCTGTTGGTGAAACCTATGAACCTTCAGTTGTCCAGAGGGGTTACTAATTTTGGATTTGCCGGGTGAATAATGCTTCATTTCAACCAGCTTCTGAGAGTCGATTTCTTCTCAAAGTCTCCCGGGTAACGTAAGGATAACAGTAACTCGGGGGGAGATGGGGTTCTTAGGGGGTTATCACAGCAATACAGTTTGAGTTTAACAATCAAGAATGTTGTTTGGAAACAGTACATTCATAATAATAATAAAAAAAAGTTCTGGAGAAGCCATTATTGAAATAGTAAGTGTTCTGGCA